AAAAAAAAAAAAAAAAAAAAAAAGGCAGACGCGGTTTTCATGTTTTTGTTTTTGCGTCACAAAGGGAAAGGAACTATGCGCACATATTATACAATGTCGGCATACTGCTGCACACAGTTTGCGGCTGATAACAGTTGCATCGTCTGCACAAGGAGTTATATCGTGAAAAAAACTGCATGGACAATAGCAAACACCGATTTCGAAGTACGTGTACCATACGAAATATGAAACGTCAAAACGAACGTGGACCAAGAAAGGTTACACAATGAACCATCCACATAAAAGAAGAAAAAAATGCACTGCCTAATAATGAAAAAATAACATGCTACAGCGACACACAATAAAGAAACGTGTCAAAACTACATGATGCGGTCGTGCCGCTGACCAGTAACAAACACAAAAAAAGTCAATAGCATCCAGTGCGTGTGGGCGAGCTCGTGGTCCGCCGCTCGCCACCCTGTAATGTCGTCCTGCGTGCCCCGAGTATCTAGAGGTCCTCCTCTCCGTCAACCTCCTCTGCAGCGGCGTTGGTGTGATCGTCGTCGACCACCGTGACCGGCGTGACGCCATCCCGTCTAATCTCCCTCCGTGCTGCCGATATAAGGGTGTCTGTGCGACGTATGCCTCATGTCATCTCCAACCCCTCGCCTCCGGTGGTCTCACCATCCCGGTGTGATGCTCGTCGAGGTATCAGTCTTTGTGTCCTAGGAGGCCCCAACACATCTGCCCCGAGGATCTGTGATTCTGTGAAACCTCCCTCAATCCGTGAGTCGACACTCGTGCTCCACGACACGTTAGTGCGACCGAGTAAAGAAGCCACGGCCCCCACTGTCGCCTGTCGACGCTCTCGAGGCCTGCCCGCCGCTGAGGTTGGCGTAGACGGTCGTGTCCCACGATCTCGTGCTACACTGGGAGGGGACTGTGCCGCACCAACTCCCATGGCACCCACCACCACCAAAGCGTCTGATGGTGGTGTCGGGCTATCAGGGCCCTCTGAAACGGACTGCACGCGTGGTAGAAGTGTTTTGGTTTTCTTTGAGTCGATCCTCACTCCACGTCTCGTCTCTCACACAAGGCACGCGCCCAACTCATCAAAAGTCATCGCGCCGAACATCAAACTACGTCGTGGCTGCTCTACGTAACGAGTGCATTGCGTCCCAGGGTCATGTGGACGACGACGATGCTAGCGATGTTTGCCCGTCGGTGCATCCTCAGGCTGCTGAATGGGCGGTGCCGCCATGACACCTGCTCCCTCCTCCACGCCAGAAGCAGGTAAAGTCGATGGTTCATACACATCTCCATGTACCTCCCCACATGCGTCCTCCCCTGTCTCTACGTCTCCCCTCACCGCCGCTGGACTCCCAACTGCCTCCTCATCCCCCACATCTCTCGCTGATACCTCTCCGAGATCTCCCAACTGAGCAGCATCGTCCTCTGGCACTGTGGAGTCAATCACTATCTCGTTGCGCGCCTCTCCGTCATGTGCCACTGCAACAACGTCCGTCTCTCCGTCTCATGGTATCGAGACAATGGGTGAGATGTCGATATCGGGCCTTGCTGTTTCGCCTTCTCTCTCTCGAACAACATATGAAGTGCAGGCAGCTGCCTCCTCCACCAACCCACGAGACTCCAATGTTTGTGCGTGTGCACTACCAACTGGTCCCTCCATCTGCTCATCCTCCGCAACATAGCCTCGCACTCCTGCTCCATCGGTCTACGCATAGCCTCCATGTCACGTGTCATGCCCTGTGTGCACGGGTCAGCATCGGCCAGGGCCTTGGCCCTTGCGGCCTCCTCCTCATCCTCCCTTGCCTCTCAAGCCATGCCGTCCTTGTAACGAGCGTGAGGCTGCGGGTGAGCCGAGGGAGATGAGAGAGAGGGAGAGAGAGGGAGAGAGTGAGAGCACACACACACACTCACTCACTCGACACGACGGACTCGGACTGAGGGTCGGACGCAGACACAGTGGCAAGGCACAAAGTCGAAGTCTTGGATTTTATGCCATAGTGATATAGGTATCTAGGACGTA